ATTTGTGGATGGGACATTGCTTCGTCATGTTGTATGGATGACCGGTCACACACTGGAGGGTTTTTAATTTTACACATTATGTGTATGCGCATCTGGCGTGGTTTGTGCAGTGGATGCGATTTAGGGTAAACCATGAGTTTCGTGGAAGATCAAACCCAGGAATCTTCTGCGTGTTGGGTCCTTCACAAGGTGTTTCTAAGTTATTGTGAACTCCATTCAGCTCACCAGACTTCATCGGGGTTGAATTTGCATGGCTTAAGGTTAAAGCGCATGGATCCAAAAGGGATTGCGTGACTTTAATTAGGGATGTTATTGAGGTCCTGTATGTATTAGTGAAGGCTTGGGCAGGCATTCATCCAGCAGTGGAGAGGACCCTGGATGATGATGCCGATGGTGCATTAGGAGGGGTGGGGGAAGAAAAGGCAAGGTGAGGCCTTCATCCGGCAGTAGTTTAACACAAAGGTCTGTGTAAAAAGAAAAGGCATACCAAGAACTATAAGTTCTGGAGAGTAAATCCCTTACCCCGCAAGTTGTTTTGTATACCCTCACAATCAATATTAATATAGAATCAAACGTAAAATAGCACTGCCTTGTATGCACTCATTGAAAGAAGTTTAAGATGAAAACGCAAATCATAATCCAATGGGTCATCATTAATATAGAAACGGATGTAATAGAACATCAAAAATACCGGGTTCATCGTAAGTTGCGAGTTAATCGCTGTCTATTTTATGCCAATCGATCCATGGATCGAGTAATGATGTGACACGCCCCCTTCATTTGATTCGCTAACATCAGCAAGATCGGCGATTCCGTCACAGTCCACTTTTATTATATCACAGTGCCACTTGATATACCATTGGGCCCAAATAGCTATTGAATATAATCAGAATCGTTATTTATTCCGGAGGAATCCCTTGAACTATGAAGCACTTTGTCACAAATGTCCAGTCGGAGCAGATAACCCTTCAATAATCAAGAAGTATTTACTATCTTCTTTGGTTCTTTCGGTAAAGTCACGTAGAATGAGAATAAAATAATAAATTGATAAAATAGCGCTGTCCTCCAGACAATCTCGTCCCCTTCACCTGATGAAGGCTGCTTGTGTTGTGGCCGAAACGTCGTGAGAATATTATTGTGTTATTTTATTTTATCAATTTATTATTTTATTCTCATTCTACGTGACTTTACCGAAAGAACCAAAGAAAATGCATCCTTGCAGTCACAAAAGCTTTAAATCGAAAAGTATTAATTACTCAATGATAAACTAATTTATGTTAAAAGTAAAATTAGAAAGTTGTTTGCACAGTGCATTGTGGGAAGATTTGTTCTTGTCAGCACAAGGCACGATCCACGTCGGAATGCATTCCTGGGCCCGATTACCACCATCACCGAATGGGCACAGATGGTAAAGACGCCACATGGCCCACAATGTCGCATCGTTTCATATTCAGGCAAGTGTTATTTGGGCGTTTTGTACTATGTGCGCCAACGCACTTGTGTACAAGCGCCAAGAGATCACGAAAAAAAACATTTCATTTTAGAACTAACGCAGCCCGGGACGACGAATCCCCGTGGTGATGACCAACTGAAGCATGTCCACTGCGTGGTTTTCAACCACTCACACGTGCTCAATCACCCACTCCAGCTGAGGTCTCGGGACAAGTGGGAGACCGGAGCGATGCAGGTCGGGCCCCTGACAGAACTACTTTCAGTGGGCAACGCGGCCCCGACTGTGTCCCCCATCGCGATTTCATTTCACTCCCCCATCTCACGCGCGGCTCCTGCCTCACCTCACCTTGACCCCCAGGGCCGTCCATAGGGAGGGCAGGGGGGAATGGGGCCCGGGGCAAATCACAGCGCGTGGGTCCCCCCTCCCCAATGACTTCAAACTAAACCAGAAGTATTACATCTGACACCGTGACGTTCAGACGCGCCCCCCCCGCTCCAAAGCGTGGGGGCCGGGGCGATCGCCCCGATTCGCCGTCACCCGAAGGACGGCTCTGCCGACCCGCACGCCGTCGTCCCACCACTCGCTACGACATCGCGGTCATACCTCAACCGATCTCCAAATCTATTTGGATTCACTGAATGCCTCGCCATCTGCTGTTGCTGTTGCATTCCGAGGATTATCCGGTGTTTGGTCATCCCGGCCGCTTCTCCGCTCGCGCCGATCAAACTTGAAATCGTTCAGAGTCGTGGTCGATCAACGGAGAGTGTGGGAGAGGGGCAGAGGATTCTGGGAACCGACTCATTCAGGATTTCCGAGAACACACATCAGTCCTTGACGCGATTACACTTTACTTGCGTAATAAAAGAAAACAACAGTGCAGATATTTGAACCCAAACGCAAAATCAGTGGTAACAGAGCACTACGTGTTTTCAAACTGCGACTAGCTTATAAAACAAAACAAGAAACGTATGCAGCACACGCCAGCTCGTACGTGAGCGACTGTATAAAACTGGGGTGGCTTCCTGTCGCTCAAAAACGCTCAAGACTTGACCACGAAGACTAAAATAAATGCCAAAGCCAACGAGAGCTCAAGGCTGGGGGGGGGTGGAAGGGGATGTCTGAATGTAGTTTGACGTGACGCAGGTGGGACCTGTAACTCTGGCTCGACTACCGCTAGAAGTCACCCACCCGACGCTTCGACTTTTGAGCGAGCGAGCGATCGCAGACCGCCCCCCGAACGCTCCTACATGCGGCGATGCACATATCCTGCCAAGTCGGCTGACCTATCCAGCACTTCGGTTTTCACAGCAGAGCAAGATGCTCAATTTTTAAAACGGTGTTCCCAATCAGACGCGACTGCATTTTCGGCAAAAAAAATCAACATTAAGGGTTCCATGGAACGGAGGCAATGCTTTTTTTTTACCCCTGGTAACCACTGGATTGTAACCTCATCAGGTACAGTGAGGGAAAAAGTATTTGATCCCCTGCTGATGTTGTACGTTTGCCCACTGACAAATAAATGATCAGTCTATAATTATAATGGTAGGTTTATTTGAACAGTGAGAGACAGAATAACAAAAAAATCCAGAAAATCGCATGTCAAAAATGTTATAAATTGATTTGCATTTTAATGAGGGAAATAAGTATTTGACCCCCTCCCAATCAGAAAGATTTCTGGCTCCCAGGTGTCTTTTATACAGGTAACGAGCTGAGATTAGGAGCACACTCTTAAAGGGAGTGCTCCTAATCTCAGCTTGTTACCTGTATAAAAGACACCTGTCCACAGAAGCAATCCATCAATCAGATTCCAAACTCTGCACCATGGCCAAGACCAAAGAGCTCTCCAACGATGTCAGGGACAAGACTGTAGACCTACACAAAGCTGGAATGGGCTACAACACCATTGCCAAGCAGCTTGGTGAGAAGGTGACAAAAGTTGGTGCGATTATTCGCAAATGGAAGAAACACAAAAGAACTGTCAATCTCCCTTGGCCTGGGGCTCTATGCAAGATCTCACCTCGTGGAGTTGCAATGATCATGAGAACGGTGAGGAATCAGCCCAGAACTACACGGGAGGATCTTGTCAATGATCTCAAAGCAGCTGGGATCATAGTCACCAAGAAAACAATTGGTAACACACTACGCCGTGAAGGACTGAAATCCTGCAGTGCCTGCAAGGTCCCCCTGCCCAAGAAAGCACATATACATGACGGTCTGAAGTTTGCCAATGAACATCTGAATGATTCAGAGGACAACTGGGTGAAAGTGTTGTGGTCAGATGAGACCAAAATGGACCTCTTTGGCATCAACTCAACTCGCCGTGTTTGGAGGAGGAGGAATGCTGCCTATGACTCCAAGAACACCATCCCCACCGTCAAACATGGAGGTGGAAACATTATGCTTTGGGGGTGTTTTTCTGCTAAGGGGACAGGACAACTTCACCGCGTCAAAGGGACGATGGACGGGGCCATGTACCGTCAAATCTTGGGTGAGAACCTCCTTCCCTCAGCCAGGGCATTGAAAATGGGTCGTGGATGGGTATTCCAGCATGACAATGACCCAAAACACACGGCCAAGGCAACAGAGGAGTGGCTCAAGAAGAAGCACATTAAGGTCCTGGAGTGGCCTAGCCAGTCTCCAGACCTTAATCCCATAGAAAATCTATGGAGGGAGCTGAAGGTTCGAGTTGCCAAACGTCAGCCTCGAAACCTTAATGACTTGGAGAAGATCTGCAAAGAGGAGTGGGACAAAATCCCTCCTGAGATGTGTGCAAACCTGGTGGCCAACTACAAGAAACGTCTGACCTCTGTGATTGCCAACAAGGGTTTTGGAACCAAGTACTAAGTCATGTTTTGCAAAGGGGTCAAATACTTATTTCCCCCATTAAAATGCAAATCAATTTATAACATTTTTGACATGCGTTTTTCTGGATTTTGTTGTTATTCTGTCTCTCACTGTTCAAATAAACCTACCATTAAAATTATAGACTGATCATTTCTTTGTCAGTGGGCAAACGTACAAAATCAGCAGGGGATCAAATCATTTTTTTCCCCTCACTGTATAGACACCTACATGAACGGCATCAACAACATTCACATCTTCCACAACAAATGAAAACTGGTTGATCAGCGACACTCAACAACGCGTGCTGCTGTGAAGACAAGGGCGTGCGAGTCCGCCTATGGTAGCTCAACATTTTCAACTATTTTTATTCTAGATTTGAAGCTTTAACGCTGTCCTCTGGACAGTACGGTCCCTTCACCTGATGAAGGCCACTTGTGTTGTGGCCGAAACGTCGTGATTTTTGTTGTTTTATTTTTTACCTACGTGACTTTACCGAATAGAACCAAAGAGTAACTATTTTTATTTCACCAGGTAAGGCCCACTGAGCTATATAGCTCCTTTTTAGAAGAAACCTGGCCACAAATGATAGCTCAACTAAGTCCCTTATATCACGTGGAAATTGATAGCAACCGAATACTCGAAACGCACGTTTCTAAATGTGGAGGGATAAAACTGTAGGACCCGGAGATAAATCCACGCGACCACGGCGAGACAGCCATTCAAACTCCAAATATACAGCAGCAGGCGTCAAAAGTCGGGATCGAACCCACGTACCTCCTACATAACAGACGAGGGAGTAAACATCTCGCCACCACGGAGTTTGAGGAAGCCCTTTGGTTGTCGCGTGATGCCGTGCTCTCTCAATCCTAAATAATCTTTACGTCACGTCAGGGCGGTGAGCCGTGAAATTGGAGACGGAGCCACACAAAACATTCCCCTTGACGCAGCCACCCCCTGGGTAATGGACGGCAGGACACTGCTCGGGACACTCTTGCGAGAGAGACCTCTTACCCTGGTCTCTCGCGGTCTCACCCGGGTTCAACAAAACAAACTTGACCAAACCCGACCTTGCTCGTGAGCAGAACTACGACGTTTCGTTAACCGCAGTCGGGTGGGACTGCAGGGGGAAGAAAGGAGTGAGCGAGCTGGGTTTGTGTGCGGGGCGTGGCGAGGCGGGGAAGGCGGTGGTGAGGGTAGTGGGGCGGGGAGGGTGGCGGTAAGTGGGGTGGGGGTCAGGAGTGGCGGTTGAGAAGGGAGCCGACGGCCATGAGCAGGATGCGCGCCTGCTTGGAGAACTGTCCGCGCTGATCGGCGGCGAGGAAGGCATGCATCTTCTGCTGCACGGGGACCAGCACTGTGGCCGAGTGCTCGCGCGTGATCGAGTGCTGGGGGTCCAGAGACATCACCGCCTCCTCCAGGAACCTGGACGCGGACGCGGAAAGCGATCAGAATTATTATTATTATTATCGTTGTGCGTGTTTGCCTAGGAACGCTTCACCGAGTGTCAACTCTTTTTCATGGGAGCCCTGATAGAGGGTGAGGTTGCTGCGTTCATCAATCGAGTAATTTCCAGGCAATTTTTTGTCTTACTATTTACCGAGTTAAAGCAGCTCCTTTATTTTTGCATACTGTATGCCTCTTACACGGAGTGTCGTGCACGAAAAAATACTGCTTCTAAACCTTTCTGAGAGCAAACAATTGATGACAGAGGTGTGAGGCTTAATTGCAATGATGAATTTTGCAGAATCGAGTGATATATTTTTAATGTGGCCGTGACTTCAGTATGTCACGGCCTATAGCCTGCTGCTTTCACTGCAGGCCGCACAACAACCTCCGTTGTTTGCACATTCGCCAGCTAAGGCTGCGTTACAAGCACTGTAGAGAGCAGCGCCCTTCAGAGCAGTAGCAACAGCGAACGGGCAGGCGTAGAAACAGGACGAAGAGCCGGAGGGGAGTGGGGGGGGAGTCGGGGGGGGGGGGGTTGGAGGGTGGGCAGCGCACACCCACCGGAGTGTGGTCTTGGTGTGTACGGCGAGGTCCATCGACAGCTGTTGCACCAGCGACAGAAGCACAGGCTGCGTGAGGGGGCACGACCCAGGTATGAACACCTGCGCCGGGTCCACCGTCTCGCACACAAACAGCACCAGCTCCAGATCTGCGGCCGTCAGAGCCTGAACGCGGGAGAGAGACAGCAGGGGTGAGCTGCCTGGGAGGGCGCGACACGCACGCACAAAAGTACCAAGATCCCCTCCTCCCCCGCCATAACTTTTATCGACTGTTGGGGCAAGTGCTGTAAAGCGAGCAACTATGAAGGTCAGCACAGCACACAGAGAGGGTGGGTGGCCAGCACCACGTCAGGTCGCATTTGTCTCCTCAGTAGCGATGTTTACTACACACCACACCAGGTGCTTATTTGAGTCGGAGTTGATTACTCACACACACCCAAGCACAGTGTGTGCTGTGCGATCAATTTTTATTGCACCGTTTTCGATTTGAACCTCCCGTAATGCGATTGTTTTTCCTCCTTGATTGCTTGTCATTTTGGTGACGCGGGTCACTCTTGTAAATTAGACTATATATCCACGCGTCTTGCATTCTCGCACCTAGTTGCACAAAAACGAACTTGAAACTTACGACCCAATCAAAATTTGTCTTTCCCACAGATTACCGACACTGCAAATTGGCATCGAGGGCGAGAATCGCACGTCAAATAAATCGTCGTCGCGGGGAGTGGCCGTTCGGTCGCTTGTCCTCACCTGCTGGAACGCCTGGTTAATCTGTCCCTGCTGCAGCAGCTGCATGATGTGCTCTTGCTGCACACGGAAGTCGATGGGGGGGTGGTGCGCGGACGGCACGGGCGTGCTCGCCGCGGAGCGCACAGCCTGCATGATGCTGTTGGTCACGGTCGCGTGCTGCTCCTTCAGAGCCAACGCCATTTCTTCACGCACCACCCGGCGCACCGTCCCCGTTAGGCCCTCCTGCAGGCTGCACGCACGCACATGGTTACACGCGCTGTTATACACATACACACACTAAGTTGCACACACACACGCACACACACACACACGGTTACACACTAGTGCATGCACACTGGTGCACGCACACACACGGTTACATCCCGCACGCGCACACACACACACGGCTACACACACACGGGTCAGGTGCATGCACATGCATGGTTACATACACAAGGTTACACAGTACACACAAGGTTACACGCACACACACGGTTACACGTGCACACACACCCACGGTTACACACACACACGGGTACATGCACATAGACAAAGATCCCCGTATAGCCTGTAACAGACTTTTGGGGCAAGTTCTGTTATAGCAAGCACCTATGAAGGCTGGCATGGCACTAAAGGGGGCGGGTGGCCAACACCATGCCCAGCCGACTGTCTCCCCAGTGGCGATGTTTACACACTGCACCAGGTACTCATTTGAGGCTGAGTCGACCTATGGGAGGCCCAGGACCAGTTCAGAAAATCGTCACTGGTGCTGGCGGTGAGTGGAAATTGAACTCGGGTCACCGAGTTCATAGCACACCGCGTTAACCGCTACGCTACCACTCCCCGCAGTTACACACATGCGGGTACACGCACATATGGGGTTACTTGCACACCTTCGGAGCATACACGCATGGGTAGGCACACGCACAGGAGACACACAGATTACACGAGGCTTTATCTCAGTATACACACGGGTACACAAAGGGGCACACACAGGAGACAATACACAGAATTCATTCCACATGAGCCAAAGATTGGGGTACAGATACATACAAGAAAAAGATCCCCCATACAGCCTTAACAGACATCTGGGCCAATTGCTGTTAGCGAGCACCTATGAAGGCCGGCACAGCATACGAGGGAGTGAGTGGCCAGCACCACGACCGGCCGCCTTTGTCTCCCCCAGTGGCGATGTTTACACACAGCACCAGGTACTCATTTGTGGCTGAGTTGACCAATGAACACAAAGACACACACACACGGGAACATCGTCGAACTTGTCAATTCATGGTGAACCGCACCGACCTATTTGATTTGTCTGTAGCCACCTACCTGCATGATACGTCACGCATCTGCGCCTGTATATCCGTGTGCACGCTGGCAGACAGCGCTGGTGCCAGCTGCTGTATGGAGGCCTGCATGGCCATCAGGGTCTGCTGCAGCTGAGTGCCCATGCCCTCCAACGCACCTTGGTCCGCCTGCCTCCGCGCCGCCAGGTGGCTCTCCAGCTGCTGCACGTCTGAAACCGTGGCAACGAGCAGGCACATATTGTAAGGAACAAGAACGAAGCTCACCGGCGATCGGACCTTGGCTTCTGTGGAACCCGGTCCTGTGGGACTCTCTGGGCCTTCGTTTCCATGGTACCCGGACTGTGGGACTCTCTGGGCCTTTGTTTCTGTAGTACCCGGAATGTTGAACGCTCTACTGAAGGTTGTGTCAGGGAGTCCGGTTAGGTTGGGATCTTCAAATCCTTCTGCCAAAAATTAATCCTCTCTCAGAAGGTGTTGCTTATTTTAATTGAGCCACTTCTCACCAAAACACCCCTGCCCATTATCATTAATGTAGAGTGCCTTGCGATTTCAGGCAAGGTTCTCAATACAAGCTGTAATTATTATTCACGCTTGAGAATATTTTTTTCACGCGAGTACAGCGTCGTTCAAATGACATTGGAAAAAAAAAGTCTGCGGAATTTCCAACGCGCGCACTGTTCTTTCCACAATAGCCAAAACCAGTGCCAACAAAGGCCCAAGCTCTGTGGTCCTAGAGTGGGTGTTTATTTTATTCTATTAACGAACGGTTAAATAATGCATGGGAGGAAAACAGAATAACCAGGGAGGAGAACTCACGAGTGCAGGGGATTGGGGCCGACTCAATCCCTGTACATGAAAGTAGACTTCGATTATCCACGCTAATGACGGGGAGGCCGGCTACGGATAATTCAGAATCGCGGATAATCGAAGAATATAACCTTTTCCGCGGATCTCTATGCCAAGAACCACAATTATAGGTATAAGTTAAGTTTAAGCAAAAAAAATGGTTTCTCAATTAACAAAACAAAGAATAGCAGAGCCATGCCAATCAAACTCCACCCACTGTTGTATAGATATGCAACGACTGTACTGTAGAGGCGATCACATGGATTTCGGATTAACCAGAGCACATATTTGTACGTTTTAAGCACGTAATTTGCACTATACATTTCCAAGAATAAAAATGTATAACTATTTTTAGATTCATTCTTGGTTCTTTCGGTAAAGTCACGTAGAAGGGAAATAATAAAATAATAAAAATATAAAACAATAAAATTCTCACGACGTTTCACCTGCAACACAAGCAATCATCATCAGATGTGGAAACCACAGCAAGAAAATTTTCTGTGAAAACCACAGCAAGAAACTTTTCTTTCTGTGGTTTTCACAGTCACGAAAGCTTTAAATCAAAATTTATTTTTACATTGTTAAATTGGCTTTAAGGGAAAATTCATGAGTTATTAATTTATGTCAAAATCTCAGGTGTGCGGTTAATCCGCAAAATGGGTAAACCGCATAGATTATGCAGAATGCAGTTAATCGAGTCGACTGTATTTAGATTTAGATTTGACTATTTGAAATTCTAACATATGGTAAGCAACTTTGATGGGCTGTCACGTGTGGCCAGGTTGCCTCTGGAAAAGAGCCAACGGCTCAGTGGGCTTCACTTGGTAAAATAAAATGGTTTAATTTTCATATGGAAATAAACCCACTTGCTCTACTGCCATATCATGGTTAACCAGGAGATGGCGACCTCAAGGCCCATAGCAGATACATTCGCAACTCTGGCAGATGTGGTACAAGTGGAAGGGCTAAACTTATTGCAACAGAACCAGTTTTATAATTAAAACAGATTTCAACAGGGAATAAAAAGGCTGTGTGTGTGGATATTCAACATTAACACAATAGAAATAGATTCATGCAGAATGCGCACATTTCTGGCAATCAAACAGTATGCCGCAATTAGCGCACGTGCGCGTGTGTGCGAGAGGTAGTATATATAGGTGCCTACGCGAGTTCCATTTCCGCTCATGGCCAACATCAGTGACGATTATCTGAACCTGTCCCGGGCCTCCCCTTAGTCAACTCCGCCTCAAATGAGTACCTGGAGCCTTCTGTAAATATCGCTACTGGGAAGACAAAGGCGGCCGGGCACGGTGCTGGCCACCCACCCCCTTTGTGTACCGTGCCGGCCTTCATAGATGCTCGCAAACAGCACTTGCCCCAAAAGTTCGTTAAGCCTATACGGGGAACCTTTGTCTTGTCTTTGTGTCCGGGTGCGTGTGTGTGCATCTGCGTGTGTGCGTGCGTCTGCGTGTGTAACGAGGGCCACTGACATTCATGGGTGCCGCGGTGGAACACTTCGTTGATCTGCTGCATTAAGGCCTGGCAGGCGCGGTCGAACACCGGGGCGGCCGAGCCCTGGAAGGCCTCCCTGAAGGCGACCTGCATAGGGCCCTGGAGGCACTCCGCTGCTGCCTTGCCGATCGCATCCGAAATTGCCTGGCAGAGTCACGCGCGTGGAAAAACAAGGGCGGTGTTCACAGTCAAGTTCACGAGCTTCGTGCTTTCAGCTCATTCCCTGACCATTTTAAACTCCTTCCTTCATTGAAGATCTCTCATATGAATCGATTGACGGTGACCCGGGTCACCATCGTGACCTGGGGGTGCCAAAACCTCCATAACTCCGAAACCAGAAGGCTTATGAAGACGGGATATGTCACTGAGCCCGATACGCACGCCAAATATGGAAATAACACACGCAAAACACCCATAAAAAAGGGGGGCTTGCTGGGGATTTGTGCGTGGCAATGGCTGTTTATTGCTTGTTTTGAAAGTACATCGGGATGCTGGTCTGGTCATTCCCCAGCACGTTCTGCTTCTTACGGGGGCGACCACCCCCTTGTCTTTGGGAGCGAGACCACTTGGAGGCAATGGCGCACCAGGCGCTGTCTTGGTACGGCCGGCGGTCATGGTCGTGCTGGCGGGATCGACATCGTCGTCATCATCGCTCCCAGCGTCGCCCTCCGACAAACAGGGTAGTACCAGCGACGCTGCCAGAAAAAAACCTTAAACTATGCCCGGCCCACCAATATTTTGCGGTGACCCGGGCTACCGCCAAACGATTCATATGCCGACGTGCGAGTTTGTGCTATATCTCTGTGTTAGCTGCCAGTGTTACTTGAGTGGTGCAGGGGTCAAATGTTGTTCTCCTCGAAAGTGTCTGGAACTGTGTGTCCGCAGCTCCGATGAGCACGGTTGGCTATGTACGGTGCGAAATAAGTTAAATATACGTTATGATTTATTCGCTGCTGTAACTTCCTGTTTTTTCACTGCGGTGACGCCACGGGGCCATTCTAGTAAAACCGCTCAGGGACGAATATTTCCCTCCCACGTAAACGAATAAAATCAATAAATTCACTGCAAAAAGATTCATGTTTAAGTCACCGTGGTGCTTTTACAGCCCCCCCCCTCCTGTATCCCTTAAGCGTGAGTGCACCTGCTGATGCTATAATACAATATCAGACACCTGACAAAATCACTGATGAGAGATTTGCCCATATATGGAAGTAGGTGTGATGTTGGCCGAAGGGGCATGTCTTTGCCAATATATGGTACTGTGGATCGTGAATCGAGGTTAATTTGTATTGATTCAGCTCAGTCAATCTGGCACCGATCTTGAAACGGTCGATTCACTGCAATTCATGGGCAATAGAATAATTGGCAATATAAATAATTGGCAATCGTTTCATTGGCAAGCAATACTTTGATAAAGTAGTTGTGTGATCTTCTTTGGTTCTTTCGGTAAAGTCACGTAGAATGAGAATAAAATAATAAATTGATAAAATAAAATAACACAATATTCTCACAACGTTTCGGCCACAACACAAGCGGCCTTCATTGTGTTGTGGCCGAAACGTCGTGAGAATATTATTGTGTTATTTTATTTTATCAATTTATTATTTTATTCTCATTCTACGTGACTTTACCAAAAGAACCAAAGATGAATCCTTGCAGTCACGAAAGCTTTAAATCGAAATTCAGTTGTGTGATATTCCCCCTTTATTCGATTAGCTAACATCAGCAAGATCGGTGATTCCATCACAGTCTGCTTTTATTGTACCAGGGCGCCCATCAGGATAGAGGAGGTACACACCTTGGCCTTGACCATCTTGGCGATGCCGTCTCTCGTGGAGACCTCTGCTGCCGTCAGCTTGGCTGCCATCGTGCTGGTCAGCTGTGCTGCCAACGGCTCCACCGCTTTTGCGATCGCTGAGATAAAGGGGGATTTTTACCCGCCAATCACACATCGCTCCACCCCACACCTTAAAAAAAGTCCAAGCGAGCATTCAACAGCGAGGGCGTGAATAACACGTGAAGCGATACCAGACCCTGGTTGGCTTCAACAGGCTCCCAGAGCCCAGGAACAGTCATCGCCCAGAGACGTGGCCGTGCCGAGGCAGCGCGGGAAAGAGTAGCGCGTGAGGTCGTGCGAGCGGACGAACGATGCTCACCCTGGGGGAAGATCTTCTTGACTTCGTCGCGCATGCCCTTATCGAGGCGGGCTGCCACCACGCCGGACATGGCCTGCGTCAGGTTGTGCTGCAGCTGCTGCTGCAGCGCTCGCTCGCGGTCCTCGTGCTGCTGCAGCTTTGCGGTGAACCAGGTCTCTGGGTCACACGTCAAGGGAGCAACTTCTCCAGCAGGGCTGTCCGGCCTTCGCACGACAATTCACTCCCTCGCCTGGTAAGCAGGAGGTTGTAGATTCGATGCTGACCCCTGCTGTACATTTGGAGTTTGCGTGTTCTATCTCCCGGTGGTGGTGTGGATTTTTCTCCAGATCCTCCGGGTTTTCCCTCCACATTTAGAAATGTGCATTGGGTATTTGGCTGCTATAAATATCCACATAAGCCACTTCGATGAGCTATTACTTGTGGCCAGGTCGTTTCTGAAACAGAGCTATAATAGCTCAGTGGGCCTTACCTGGTAAAATTAAAAAATAATTCAACTACCACAGTACAGATCAAAACAATGCACACTCAATTACTCACTCAATGAAAGATCCCCCATATAGCCTTAACAGACTGTTGAGGCAAGTGCTGTTAATGAGCACCTATGAAGACTGGCTCGGCACAGGAGGAAGTGGGTGGCCAGCACCACGCCCGGTTGGCTGTTTCCCCAGTAGCGACATTTACACAACAGACCAGGTACTTATTTGAGGCCGAGTCGACCGAAGAGCGGCCCGGGATGGGTTCAGATATTTGCCCCTGTTATTGGTCGTGAGCGGGAATCGAATCGGGTTCAAAGCGTAACGCTCTAACCGCGACATTCACACTCTCCAAACCACTCACTCACCCACTCGTCCACCCACCCACTCACCCATGATACCGCAGGTCAAAACAACACGGACTCAACTACCCATCGATCCACCCACCCACTCACCCACCCATCACACTGCAGGAAAAAAAAATATATCTTTCTGCTTATTCTCATCAACTGCTGGCCTCTCTTCCCAAACTCGTGTATAAACTTGGGTCACTTCAACAAATGGGTCAACTCCCAGCTCATAAAAAAACTAGCAATCGACCCAACTCCCGTACATGAGGATTAGAATCACGACCATTGGTCCCGTCACCCTGATGAAGCAAACGCAGGCTAGAATGAATCGACGCTCGAGGCATGGCTACACGTTCATTGTGTGAGGACTAATCGAACGGTGTGCACTTGAAGCGGACGTGACGTGGCAGCACCCCGACGCAGGATACGGTCCTGCTCTCGAGACTTGGCCAGCGAGGCCTCCATGTGGCTCAAGAGGGCATTGTTCAGCGCCTCCTCTCGCGCCTCCATCCCGTGAATCATCTCCTCCTGCCGGCTCCAGATGGCCGCCAGCTTGGTCTGCAGCGTCGTGAAGCACGCCAGCATGGCCGCCTGCCCATCCTCCCTCGCCTGGACTCACCAGACACGGCGGGGACGAATTACACCCACGGGCGTTCCAGAAAAAAAAGCATTTGTAATGAGGCCTCCGAGTGTCAACGGTGCTACCGGCACCTAGAGGAGGCCGCTGTCCCCTGAATTTACGCTCATGTCGCTTTTTTGGATTGTTTGTTATTGCAACTTTCTTACCTGCCCCCTATGGACATCTGTAAAAAAGAGCTTCATAGCTCATCGGATTCCTCCAGGATAAGTCAAGATGCTGATTCTCACCGACTAATCCCGAGTACTGCATGCGCGCACCTTTCAATGCGTCAGTGCCAAGAGGCGATCAGCGACTTAACAAACGATGAAATGTATGCACCCACCTGGTCAGAAGCTGATGGATGAGATGCTCTTTCACTGCAAAGTACAAAAAAAAACACAAAACATACACTTTGAGATGGAGACCATCGCCCTATTCAAGTGAATGTGTTTCTCGTGCATGGCTTTGCTTGATCGCGCTGCTCAAGGAGCTGGGGCGGCACCTCTCTTCACGGGTGGCCCTGCGTCGCGACTTTGGAGACAGGCGAGGGGACACGCGGCCTTTCTGGTCGCGGAAGCCCGGCTGAGACGGAGGCCCCCGGTGCGGCCCCGCAATGCCGGCCGCCCCCGCGCCGGCCACAACGCCCGCGGGCGATGACAGGAAGGCAACCTCCTCATCCTGATCACTGATGACGGGGAGAGGAAAGACTTTGTTTCATCATCATCATCACGATCCATGGGCAGATAGCCCTCAGGTGTCCACTGCACATTTTGTCATTTGTTTCCACTTTCCTCTGGATTGTGCCATTATGCTCAAGTAGTGTACATCTTTCTGGCACAAATCTCTTGTCCTCAAGCCATTCTGTTCGGTCTACCTCGACTTTCCGGTCCCTTCCATTTTTCCTGATGTTATCCATCCTACATGTGTGCCTAAACAGTGCCAGTTTCCTTCTCATCACTGCCTACATCAGGTCTTGGTGCAGGCAGCGCATCATGTTTAGCGATGATGACCTTCTACCGTCCTCGCCGCACGGCGGGATGAGGAGAGCTCTCAGTACCACAGTGCGTTTGGCGCAGCACGAGTCTACTACCGTGTCCAGGCATCACAGCACCAATATCGGGGATTCTCACAGGTGCTGCCATACATTAAACAAATATATGTTACAGGTAAGAAAACACCACATACTGAACACATGTTAGACCTGCAGCAGCAAGTACTGCAAGCTGTGCAGCACTTTGGTCAGGCTAGAGTGAAAAGTGACCGGTAAGCGTGTAGCACAGCGCTTACCAAGAGAAAAAGCAACATTTGTTTATTTTACCAGGCAAGGCCCACTGAGCTATATAGGTCTTTTTCAGAATCGACCTGGCTATGATAGCTCAACAAAGTGGCTCATCATGTGGAAATTTACAGTGGCCAAATATCCTGAACGTACGTTGATTCTAAATGTGGAGGGAAAATCCAGAGGACCTGGAGGAAAATCCACGCGACCACGGAGAAACATGCACGCGCCAAATATATAGGCGTCAAATATACAGGCAAAATGTGTACGGACCTACTATCTGTTTCCATCAGTATGGGGATAGAGCGTTGCACCCTCACGTGCATATGTTTTCCTCGGTAAAGACTCATCACTAATTGGTTGAAAACTTCTGAAAATAAAATCCCCAGGTAGCAGAAACCTCCTGAAAAAAGAGTCATACGACTCAGCGTGGCTCTCCTGGATAAATAAGTCAACTATTATAAATTATAATAACCGACTGGCCCTCACGGTGAATAATAAAGCGTTATTAAAATGGCAGCGCGACACGCGGCAGCTGGCGGGGCGTCTGCGCGGAGGCACCTGTGCTCCGAGCTCGCGTCCTGACTCTCCTGCTGCTCCGCCGTGAGGTGCTGGCGCTCGCGCGATGGCGACGCTCGCTGCCGGCGCATTGCCAAGTCCTCGTCCGAGCTGAAGCGACAAAAAGCACAAACGGCCGTGGAGCCGACCGTGGAGCCGACCGTGGAGGCGACCGTGGAGCCGACCGTGGAGCCGACCGTGTTTCCTCCGCGAACGATCCGCCAGCTCTAGCGCGGAATGGTTCGCGTCTTATTTTCCTCACAGTTGCACCACGCAACGCGCAAGGCTCGCTGCGCTCATTATGACAACTTTTGACTTTGACCGGCGGTGGTGGGGGCGGATGCGATATTTGTTGAGTGTTCGTACGTATCGTTTGGGAGGTAGGAGGGAAAAGTACGTGGGTGGATATGGGGAGATCCTGCCGAATGGCCGTTTCAACTCTGGAGCCTTCCGACGATGCGGTGCCGAATTACCTGACTTTGACTCCACTCCGGGTCTCGCGCGTGAGGTCAGGAGCCGCCGGCCACGCGGGGCTGGTGGAAGCGGCGTCCTGCTGCTGTTCCTGCTGCTGCTGCTGCTGCTGCCCGTACAGCTGCCGCGGAGGATCCTCCTTCTCAGCTGCCCGCTGCGGCCCGACCACCTGGCCCGGGGCGGCCTGCCTGGCCAAGGGAGCGAGGTGCGCCCCTGCCTCAGATGGAGAATGCCGACCGAGGCTGTAGTTGCCCCTGAGCACGTTGTCGGGCATCTGACGCTGGCCAGCGACGGTCCCCAAGCTGCTTTGACCGAGTGGGGAGACCAGGCGAGGTCCGGCATCCAAAGGGGGTGCATCCATCGAGCCAAACGACCCCCTACTAGGGGCGTCGGGGGACCGAGAACGGCTGCCCGCCTGCCCAAGAAGGCCGCTCTGCTCAGGCGGGGAGCCCAGGCGGGCGCCCTGCTCGGCAGAGTCCCGCAGGCCCCTCTGCACAGCTTCGGACGCCACCTCGGGGATGACCTGGGGCAGGGTGGAATTGGACGAGGCCGAGGAGATGACGTCGGGCGAGCGGAGCTCTCGCGGAGGAGACGCGTTGGTCAAGTCGGCCATGGCGAGGGGAGAGGCCTGCGAGGAGGGGGGGGGGGGGGAAGAGGCACACGGCGCGCCAGCGCGATCATCACACGCTGTCAACGCGCGGACGAGGCCGATGGTGCGTGGGAAAACAAGAAAGCCGCGACGGCGTCACTCACCCCGCTGTGTGGGCCCCCCGGAGGCATGCTGAGAGAGCTGTGCAGGCTGCTGCCAGGGGTGAGCGTCATGCTGCTCACCGGTGACATGAGGGGGCTCTGAGAAAGGCTGCAAGACAAGGATGATGACGTCAGCCGAGCGATGCACCGCGTCCTAACCTCAAAAAACCTTTATTGTGAATATTGGTCGCGAAAGCCTACATGTTAAACTCCCCCAAAGTTGTCGTTAGTTTAAACTGCGAGCACTTTCGATACAGCGTGTCACAAGAAATTACAAATATCAAGCCGCCTCCTACAGCCAGTGCCATGAAGTCTGTTAGACAAAATGTGTGCCACAAGAGAGAGCTGCAGACAGGCACTACTCACACATTGCTTCCAATCATCGTCACTGCAGTCAGAGAACTGCCACTGCCCGTTGGAGAGCCAAGCCCCAGCTGTAACACAAGGAGTGCGTTTGATGGAATTGTAAAACAGAAAACATTCAGATCTACCCATCATCTTTCTAATACATGCTTGGTAAACCCAATAGAGTCTTTATTTTTTTGGTTGATCTCACGTTTGTTATGCCACAAGTATTTTTTTTTTAATATTTTAATTTTGTAATATTACATCATCACAGGGCTAAAACTCTAACTCATTTCCATGTGGTTTTGGGCCTCGAGTTGGCTTTGTGCTTTTTGCCAAACTAATCTATTTATTTCACGAACGCTTTTAGATGTGGCTTTCACACGGAGCACCAGATACACAAGGGAATTCAAAATTAAAATAAGCGGGTATATCAATGTTAAGTGAGTAGACGTCAGCCAACGTAGCCACAGAGGCACACGACAGCCAACTAATCTATAAGCAACAGAGCCAGAGAGAGTCGACGGGGGCTCGTTGGTGGCTAGCTTGGTGGCTATTGTGAACCAGGGCAGCACCTGCTTGGGGACCAAGCTGCTCATGAAGTCGTCGGGGGTCTTGAGCTGCAACTTGGCGTCGTCGGGCAGGGCCCCCGCCGGCGTGAGCGGAGACATGAAGTCCTCGGGGCGGGCGAGCTCTCCCGCGCCGCCTCCGAGTCCGGGACTCAGCAGGGCGGCGCCCCCACCCAGGTCCACCCTTCCCAGGATGTCGTCCCTGTACCCAAAAAGCCATCGTCGGAATAAAGATTGTTTATATATATCCTGGAGGAATCCGCTGAGCTGTGAAGCTCTTTTTCACGGCTGTCCAGTTAAGGGCGGGTCAGCAAAAAGTTACAATGACAAACAATACAACAAACGATAGGAGTGAAAAATTGAGAAAAGGTAAGCAAGTCATGGTAAATAAATGTATATAAATACAAATTGCATAAGTACATCAATTTTTGCTGATTTGTCAACACCAAATGCAAGCTGTGGGCAATGGAGCAAAACAACAAGAAAAACAGTCCCAGACTAAATTTCGATTTAAAGCTTTCGTGACTGCAAGGATTCATCTTCTTTGGTTCTTTCGGTAAAGTCACGCGGCCGCTTGTGTTGTGGCCGAAACGTCGTGAGAATTTTATTGTGTTATTTTATTTTATCAATTTATTATTTTATTCTCATTCTACGTGACTTTACCGAAAGAACCAAAGAAGATGAAGTCCCAGACTACACCAAGGCAACACAAGAACTATCAAAGTTACAAATCACAAATATGGCTGCAATACTGGATCCGTTGCAATAGGTGTCCCTACGTCGTGTCTGCACAGGTTAACACCTCCTGTATTACAAGGTTTCGATGGACAAACGAGTGAAGTGGAGCATTAACACAAGCGAGTTATCTTGAACGCAAATGCACGGTACAATAAGGTGAATAAAGATGCACAAAATGGCTGGCGATGCAAGAAAACGAACACATGGAAATGACAATGACAGCAAATTTGCTGAGGGCATTGCTTGAGGACTACTACTATCACACTTGCAAATGGCATCAGCGAAGACATTTGTAACTGCAGCTTTAAAACGCCACTTTTTTAACAACTTAATTCAAAATAGGAGACGCAAATGTTACTCCGTGCCGTTATAAACGCCATGACAGTTGCGCTCACTTGTGTCATGCATAATGTTACATTTGAATCGCTCGCTAGATATCCATTGTACATAGTTCTGGTTGATCATTATTATTTTATAATTTTTTTAGTCATGTTTATAAAATGTCCCTGCTTTTGTTTTATGCTATCTTGTAAACCCTCCCTTCCCATGTAACGTGCTGGCTACTGTCGTACCAGCCGTGCTATAGAGGCTCTACAAACCCTCCCTTCCCATGTAACGTGCTGGCTACCGTTGTTATCAGCCGTGCACTATGCAGTCCGTCCTCTCTAAGCCCTCCCTTCCCATGTAACGTGCTCATCCGTTGTGGCCGGGTCGTCATTGAAAGAGAGCTTCTTGGCTCAATGGGACTGAAAGAAAATGACTGATAATGGACCGCAAAAGGATGGATGTGTTACAATTACAAAAATCGAAAGGAATGTATGTTTAACTTCTTTCGCACTGTATGCAGCCAACCATGCTAATCTGAGGTGCGGGAGGGCATAAGTCTAGTAAACCCTTGTTAATTCGACAAGGGTTTATGTACAATGGTACCCCCCCCACTGCCTCCTGCCCCAATAAAAAAATAAATCCTAATTTGTTTCCCAAAAATAATTTTCACAAAAAAGTAACACTTATCATCAGTAACCAGCACTGCTGCAGGTGAAAACTCTCGATTCGTCTCCAAGACTAAGGGATTTATACTTCATTCTGTTTCTATTAATTCTTGATGTAGGTGTGGACGACATTTCTGAGAGGGATGGCTTGCACAGATTGCATAAACAAGGTAAAGTCCAAAAGCAACAAAAGGTCTGCACTAACGCTCACCACGCGCGCCGCCACTAGACTGAGTCATTGTTTTGGTCGTAACGCGCCGAAATTGGACCATTCGGTACGACAATACGGCTCATGGCGAATTGCTAATACTGTAATATATGCCGAAAGTGCAGCCGTTCCAAATTATCCCCAATTACGCTCGATCAAATAGCGAAATAAGGAAGTTTTACTGTATAGACTTTATTTATTTCTATTCAATTACATTTAGTGATTTTCTTACCTTTGCTCTATTTTGCACTCCTATCGTTTTTTGTAGTGTTTGTTACTGTAACTTGCTGACCCGCCCCTACAGGACATCTGCGAAAAAGAGCTTCATAGCTCATCGGATTCCTCCAGGATAAATTACAATTCTGATTCTGAACAGCCGACGTTAACGGGTGAACGTAACGAAGCCACAAGCACAATAACGTTACGTCAGACGAGCAAAATCGTTTTTTCTCAAAAACTGTACCAGATCATACAACAAAAGCAGCGAACAGAAAACGCTATTTTCAAGCTGCAATTCAGTGGCGCTGTTGTTGTCGTCGTCGTCGTCGTTATATTCGCTTATTTTACCTGCGGTTGTCATCAAATGTGCGCTGGAAGTCGGATGACTGGGAGCTGTTCTCTTCGATGGGAAGGTCAGAGCTGATGTCCGAGAGCCGGTCCCGCAGAACTGCAAAAAATCCCAAGCACTCGCGGACAAAATCTCAGCCGGTCGCCCTTGCGTTCCTCACATTGTTACGGGCAGCTCAGAAGACGCATTGCCAACGATAACCACAAATGGCTCGTTAAAAGTCAAGCTCGGCCCTCACTCTTGTTTGCTGTGTAATGGAAAGATGTTTCTGAGTAGAGGTGTCTAGAGGGACAGTTTTCTGGGATTCCATGGCAAGACAGAGTAAGCAATGCAGGAGTCTGGAAGAGAACGTGGCAGGGGAGTTTTGTAGATATGATCTATCGGGATGGAAGGACCGATTTCTGAGACAGGAATTGGAGCGGTCTCTACGAGTCCAGCGACCTCGGGGAAGAGAAGGCCAAAGGGCAGATGGTGGGTCTCCGTGTGAGTCTATAGCTCTCTGTGATTCTATGGCTCTGTGTGAGTCTATGGATCTGTGTGCAATTCTATGGCTCTATGTGTGAGTGTATGCGAGTCTATGTGTCTCTGTGTGAGTCTATGAAGAGCAGATGGTGAGATATCAGGGCAGATGTTGGAGGTCGCTGCAGGTTTTCTGTGCAGCAGCTGTAGGATCTAGCAGAGGGTATTTGAGCGTTGGTGAAGTGTGGTGGCATCAACGGCTTTCTTTGGCCACAATGACCTCTTGACAGTGAGTGCCCAAATGACTGACGGTGCAAGCCCTACCCATGTCTTCATGCGAAGCAGAGCTGGAGACTGAGAGCGCCGGAGGAGCGGCTCCAGACGTGGAGGGAGGGCAGAAGAGAATCTGCACATTCTCCAGGGCTCTGACACAAAGACAAACATCCCCCGTGTAGCCTTTAACAGATTGTTGGGGCAAGTGCTGTTCGCAAGCACCTATGAAGGCCAGCATGGCACACGAGTGGGTGGGTGGACAGCACCACGCCTGACCACCTTTGTCTCCAAAATAGCGATGTTTACACATCGCACCAGGTACTAACGTGAGGCCGAGTCGACCTAGGGAAGGCCCAGGACTGGCTTAGATAATCATCACTGTTTGACCACGAGAGGGAATCGAACCCAGATCGCCGTGTTCGTAGGGTGGCGCGCGACACTATCACTCCTCGCTCTAACAGTCACACACACCACATACATTTCAATTAAACAAAAGAGCGTGTGTAGAACAGCAAATCATCTTGGAGTTCAACTAAGCATACCCCCAATTATGGTTGGTCAATGAGTTGAACATAATCTACACAAAAGGTAATCCATCCTACCAACTCAACCGATCTGCTAAAGATGTGGTCGTGAAAAAGCCACGCAGTCCAAACACATGCCAACTGTGGCTGACATTAACCTTTCAGATTTAAATCTTAACAATAAAACATGGCGTATATTTTTCTCCGGCTTCTCCGGTTTTTCCCTCCAACATTTAGAATCAACTTAAAGCTTTCGTGCAGGAATTAATATTCTTCGGGTCTTTTGGTAAAGTCACGTAGATAGGTTCAACTTATCTGTGTGACTTTACTGAAAGACCCAAAGAATATAAATAAAACACCACATTAGGTTATTCATCAACACTGTAAATGTTTTTTCTTGAGAACGATAAGTTCACACTTTGTGACTGTTACCTTGTGTGCACACAGTTGATCTTAATGAGCACGCCGCCAGTGACCTCTGCCTCATCTTCCACACCGTCTGGCAGAGGATATAACGCACAGCTTTGTCACAAGTTATTCATCTTACAGGTCAACCAGCGTCCGTGGATCACCGCACAGGTCAGGCTCACCAGGAGAGGGCCGTACAACAAGTGTACTAATTGCCATCTGTTTCCATCTGTACAGAGATAGCGTGTTGCCCCTTTGCACAAGTGGGTTTTCTCCGGGTGCTCCAGTTTCCTCCCACATTTTTAAAGACTGATTAATTGACTGCAAACATCTTAGAACAAAAAAACCCATGTAGCAGGACCCTCCTGAGAAAGTCATACGACTCAGGGTGGCTCTGCTGGACAAGTAAATAATTTTGACCGCTGAAACCCACTCGTGCCACTATTTGTAATTTTCAGTAGCAGAGTAGAATGATGCTTATACACCTGCTTATGACAAACCGCACCTTACTGTGTCATGCCTAACCAGACAAATATGTGCAGCACCATCCCATGACGCTCTACAAAAATGTGAAAGATAATTACGTTACAAACAGGTAAGAAGCAGTGTTTTGTAGTCAGGTGCCTCTCCAAAAATTCAGCGGGATCGAAAATTCTCATCGCCACAGTCCTTTCCGGGTTGCGAAAGCTCCAAGGCATCGTCATTTAGAGTTTGTAATGGGCACAGCTTTGCTCTCTGCGAGAAGGAACGATTCAAAGAGTACTTCAGATGCACGATAAACCACGGACAAGTGGGAGAAGCCGGAATCGGCGCGAATAAAAATTGTTAAGCTCTGTGGTCCCATATTGGGATGTTGCCCAGCTCCACTGATGAGTGTTTATACACGAGGAAGGAAGCGGGAGTATCTGGAGAAAACCCACAGGTGATGGGGGGTGGCAACACTCAATCCACGTACAGATGGAAATGAACCCACTTGCCATCATACCCTGCGCAAGCCAGGAGACGGTGAACTCGACGCCCATGGAGAGAGGGGGAGTTTAATGATTGTGTGTGAACCACCAACCCTCAATGCCTCCAAGGTGTTGCATTTCAGGCATGTAGCGTAGCCACCAGAATCTGGCTGTCGGTACGACCTACCCCACACCACCACTTTTCATGACCCACTCTTTAATTTAACCACTATTATTGTTATTATGAGACCTCCTTTGCCAGTAACAAGATATAGAAATAGGTTTTACCCTTTTAACTGGCACAAAAACTGACACCTTTATTCAAGGCATCATGTTTGCAATAACCACAACACAAGCAGTCAAAATGCAAACAAAAAAGACAACGCTGATAATAATATGCACTGTTCTTGAATTTGATTGGTCCACACCCGAGACGGCTTTTCTTAGAGCCTAGTCTCCATTGGTGTTGAACCAGAAGACGCCAAAAGGCGTACAACTCAAAAACAGCGCACTATCAGAGTATTGAGGGCTCGGGGTGATCATTTATATTATGAGACCTCCTTTGCTAGTAACAAGATATAGAAATAGGTTTTACCCTTTTAACTGGCACAAAAACTGACACCTTTATTCAAGGCATCATGTTTGCAATAACCACAACACAAGCAGTCAAAATGCAAACAAAAAAGACAACTCTGATAATAATATGCACTGTCCTTGAATTTGATTGGTCCACACCCGAGACGGCTTTTCTTAGAGCCTAGTCTCCATTGGTGTTGAACCAGAAGACGCCAAAAGGCGTACAACTCAAAAAACAGCACACTATCAGAGTATTGAGGGCTCGGGGTGAGCATTTATATTATGAGACCTCCTTTGCCAGTAACAAGATATAGAAATAGGTTTTACTCTTTTAACTGGCACAAAAACTGACACCTTTATTCAAGGCATCATGTTTGCAATAACCACAACACAAGCAGTCAAAATGCAAACAAAAAAGACAACTCTGATAATAATATGCACTGTCCTTGAATTTGATTGGTCCACACCCGAGACGGCTTTTCTTAGAGCCTAGTCTCCATTGGTGTTGAACCAGAAGACGCCAAAAGGCGTACAACTCAAAAACAGCACACTATCAGAGTATTGAGGGCTCGGGGTGAGCATTTATATTATGAGACCTCCTTTGCCAGTAACAAGATATAGAAATAGGTTTTACCCTTTTAACTGGCACAAAAACTGACACCTTTATTCAAGGCATCATGTTTGCAATAACCACAACACAAGCAGTCAAAATGCAAACAAAAAAGACAACTCTGATAATAATATGCACTGTCCTTGAATTTGATTGGTCCACACCCGAGACGGCTTTTCTTAGAGCCTAGTCTCCATTGGTGTTGAACCAGAAGGCGCCAAAAGGCGTACAACTCAAAAACAGCACACTATCAGAGTATTGAGGGCTCGGGGTGAGCATTTATATTATAAGACCTCCTTTGCCAGTAACAAGATATAGAAATAGGTTTACCCTTTTAACTGGCACAAAAACTGACACCTTTATTCAAGGCATCATGTTTGCAATACTCTGATAGTGTGCTGTTTTTGAGTTGTACGCCTTTTGGCGTCTTCTGGTTCAACACCAATGGAGACTAGGCTCTAAGAAAAGCCGTCTCGGGTGTGGACCAATCAAATTCAAGGACAGTGCATATTATTAGCAGAGTTGTCTTTTTTGATTGCATTTTGACTGCTTGTGTTGTGGTTATTGCAAACATGATGCCTTGAATAAAGGTGTCAGTTTTTGTGCCAGTTAAAAGGGTAAAACCTATTTCTATATCTTGTTACTGGCAAAGGAGGTCTCATAATATAAATGCTCACCCCGAGCCCTCAATACTCTGATAGTGTGCTGTTTTTGAGTTGTACGCCTTTTGGCGTCTTCTGGTTCAACACCAATGGAGACTAGGCTCTAAGAAAAGCTGTCTCGGGTGTGGACCAATCAAATTCAAGGACAGTGCATATTATTATCAGAGTTGTCTTTTTGTTTGCATTTTGACTGCTTGTGTTGTGGTTATTGCAAACATGATGCCTTGAATAAAGGTGTCAGTTTTTGTGCCAGTTAAAAGGGTAAAACCTATTTCTATATCTTGTTACTGGCAAAGGAGGTCTCATAATATAAATGCTCACCCCGGGCCCTCAATACTCTGATAGTGTGCTGTTTTTGAGTTGTACGCCTTTTGGCGTCTTCTGGTTCAACACCAATGGAGACTAGGCTCTAAGAAACGCCGTCTCGGGTGTGGACCAATCAAATTCAAGGACAGTACATATTATTATCAGAGTTGTCTTTTTTGTTTGCATTTTGACTGCTTGTGATGTGGTTATTGCAAACATGATGCCTTGAATAAAGGTGTCAGTTTTTGTGCCAGTTAAAAGGGTAAAACCTATTTCCACTATCATCTTATGTACAATTTTAGAATTGTTGTGAAGTGCCTTACAATAAAGGCACGATATAAGAACCCACGATATAAGATCCCCCCCCAAACAACTTTAAGTGACTGTTGGGACAAGTGCTGTTAGCGAGCACCTATAAACGCCAGCACGGCATACAAAGGAGCGGGTGGCCAGCATCATGCCCAACCGCCTTTGTCTCCCCAGTGGCGATATTTACACACCGCACCAGGTACTAATTTGAGGTTAAGTCGACCTATAGGAGGCGATGCAGGAACGGTTCAGATAATCATCACTGGTGTTGGCCGTGAGCGGGAATCGAATTCTGGTCGCAAGATTCGTACAAAGGCGCGCTCACCGCTACACTACCACTCCACACACACACACACACCAGTGCACACCCACACACCAGCGGCGTCCACCTCCCCATCCTCCTGGTGCTCGCTCTGCCGGCCGGCACGATGCGGCGTCACTTCCCGGATGCCGAAGCTCAGCATGGGGTGCGTGAGCAGGTACTCAGCCAGCGAACTGAAGTATGCATGTCCATCCTTGTTCTGGATTAGCTCGAGTACATACAGCACCTGCATAACAACAACAGCAGCAAATAACACTGCTTCATTGTAACCACACATAGATTACTAGTGGCAGTGAAAACTTACGTGCTAAACAACACATTAACCCTTTTCCATTCCAAGGACGTACGTGATAACGATTACGTATGCATATGTTATTGGAACGGAATAAGAAGAACGGAACGTCTTCAGGTCAGAAGATGTAGTACCAAGGCTCCCACTAGGCCATGCAGGAGGGCGTGTGGCACAGTTTGGCACCAGCTATCGTAGAGTTCGGTCGTGTCGCTACAGTTCTCTGCGGTGAGTACAATGTCTTTAAAAACAGCAGCGCTACGCCTCTCTAAATAAAACTAACGCAAACTGTTTGTGCGTTCCGAGATTCAGCGGTGAACGGGACACACCCTCCAACCTGCAGATGTCTCGGAATGGAAAAGGGTTAACACTGCACACCACGGTAATATTGTTAACATGGAAAAAAACCCCACATAATTGTATCAAATTTACCACATTGTTATAAAAGCTTGTGCACGTGTTGGACTTACCTTGCGCTGCACGTCTGAAAGAACCAGGTACTGGGCGGTGATATCAAGGCTCAGTTTTATTGCCGAGTCTGGTGAGAATCTGCAACACAGAGATCCAAGGCATCACCATTAAATTTCCGGTTCCATTTGGCAAAACAATTTGGCAAAAATTAGTATTTGTTTAAGGCTTTTACGACCAATATCATCCATAATAGAGGTTTTTTGCGGTTCAATTGCTTAAATATAAATGTGTCGTTAAATCTGTCATTACTAATTAGTAAGGTTTGCCAAGTCAAACATTAATTACTAGTTCAACACAACAGGGTGTTGGAGAATTGTAAATGGAGAATTGTAAATGCTGTGGGTTTACTCTCCCACAGAATTCACCTCTTGTTTCGGATATTAATACATGTTTTACTTATGATATTTAATTAAAAAATGAAGTTAGGCAAACTACCCTGATCCTAATGTCAAAATGTCCCCCATGTTAAAAAAAATCTAATAGCGGCGTTTACATGTTTCTTTTATGTTACAATAATATAAATCATTTTGTATTACTGGTATTTATAGAAAAATAAATGCGTTTTGTCACCAGGGGCAGAGGGGCTGTGTGGTCTACAGAAAAGTTTGCATTGGCTGAGTGGTCCGCGGGCTACAAAAGTTTGAGAAACACTGTTCTAGAGGATTGAAAATTATCCGATTGAACAGAAGGAATGCTGCGCACTTTGTATAAACAGCGCAAACTCTTAGCACCGTCAGCTTCCGTACGACAGGGAAAGGACGCTCGGGTCAGAAAGGTCACTGACCGTAGCGTCTGCAGGCACGTCCACGTCACGGTACACCAGACCTTCAGCTCCTGGTTCTGATTGGTGCCCGTCAAGACAAACCGCCAGTACTGTTCACTAAAAATGACAAGCATCATCATCATCATCATCAGAGAAGAGTGTATGGAAATAACTCAGGTTCTCTTCCTGAATCCTTCTAAACACATTATATCAACCATGTCTAGTCTTATCAAGTAGCAGTACCTCTACAGTGCACTGGGGGCACTGCTGCATTTTATTTGATCTCGCTGAATGGAATGTGCAAAAAACGTTGAAGTGAAATGCTGCCACCACGTACCCTCCCTCTTTCCTCTTGTAGTTGTCACAAAACAGCAGGCAAGAGACGGGCATGCCATTGTGTGGCTCCCACTTGTGGAGACAGCTGTACAGGAAAGACAGCGGGGATAAACTACAATCTCAATCGCCCGTCGAACACGTAAAACGCGTGCAAATAACTAAATGAAGCGACTGACGTAATGTAAAAAAAACAATAAGATACATAAATAAAAGAACATCACATTATAATGAACTAAAAGAATAAAATGCATAATTAAAGCATCCGAATTAAACGCCAATCTAAATATGTATGTTTTAAGATTTCGTTTAAAAACATTCACTGATTCTGATGCCCTCAAATCCTCAGGCAAGCTCTTCCAAAGGTGAGGACCATCGTAGCTGAAGACTGCCTCCCCATAAGTTTTGGTCCTGGCCTTTGGCACAACCAAGAGACCAGTGCCAGAGGACCTGAGGGATCTACGAGGTTCATACCTTAAACGCATCAGAGTGAGCCGCGCTCCCTAATTAACCCATGCGTTGAGGGCGGGCGACTGATATCTGGGCGAATGAGAAATGTAACTCCCTGGGCGAAAGGGCACTTGGTGGGCGGGGGGGGGGGGCGTACGTTCTTGTGCGCACCTGGGTGTGTCCTGAGACTCTGCGTACATCTGCCAGAACTTGACCAGCCCATCTTGGCCGGCGGTGGCCAAGATAGCTCCGTCAGGAGACAAGGCGCCCGTATTCACAGCCTGGTCGCATACAACCATGGGGGAGGGGGGGGGGGTGGTTACCGTCACCTCCACGCTCACCAAGAGCACCAACCACATCACGACTTGTCACGCGACAAAAAAGCGCAGGGCAGGTTTATGTCACAGATCGCCCCTAACAAGCGAATGTAACTTTTCGGTTGGTGCTGCAGTGGTGAAAATGTTTTCACTCACCCCCTCGTGCCCTCTCACAGTGGTGATGCGATTTTTGATGTCGGTGACGGCTACCGGTTTGAAAGGACCAGAAGTAGGGACGATCACGTCCTGATCCCATGCTTCCGCCTGTGAACAAAAAAATATTTGTCAACAACAACTCTGGTTAACAACCAAAACTCTTGCTCGCATTACATCGACTGTCTGCAATATAAAACGGTGCAGACGTCCATTCGTATCACTGTTGATCTTGCAGGAGCAATAATAGCTCGGTTTTCCACAAAACACAGAGAGACGAAGCTATTCCTAGTACAGAGGCTAATTATTTTTCGTTCCTACATTAAGACTTCCTGTCTTGTCCTTAAAACATTAACCATCCTCCCACTACCCCTTCTTTAACCTCACCCCTCCCTTTCCCTCTTATCACCCTTCCTTGCCATCCGTTCCCCTCCCCAACACTCAAACCCCATCCTTTTTCCCCATCAACCAATACTAATGTACAATTTATAATTCTTGTAAATATGAGAAAGGTCAATGCATGGAGTGCTTCGTCAAAGCATGGGCACACTACAGGCGTTTGAAGCCCATTTTGTACAAGCAACTTTGTCACAGGGCAATAACTGTACAGTATTTTTAAAATTTTTTATGAAACCTTCGTTAAAACTGGTAAGTTATAATGGCTCCTAATGAGCAAATTTGTTCTTGCCTTGCATGCGCTAGGGTAGCAGAACATTGACAAGTCGGAAACATTCATTCGAAGACGTCACCAGACAACCGAGCCATCAACACTTCGGACAGAGCGCGAAGGCCTCACCCTGTCGGGGTGGAAGAGCGCGAGCATCTTTCCCACGTCCTCCTCGCCGTCGCTCTCCGACTCGCGATCGCTGTTCCCGTAGATGAAGGGACACCACTGGATACGGCGCAGCTCCGACAGCGGCGTCCCCACGGGCCGCATCGCCTGTAACAGCTGCTTCGTTCTGACAGCCAGCTAAGGGACAACGTCAGCGGGATGCGGTGAGCCGACCCCAACGCAGGAAAACGAGCGTCGGCAGAGTGAAGTGTGGCGCGAGCGGCGATATCCACGCGCCCGGTTTTCCAGGTTGGACTGCGCGGTGAGCGATGATTGTCAAGCTCCCGAAGATACCCGTTGGGAGTGCATTGGTAAAAGCTCGACGGAACTAACGCTCAACGCGAAGCCCAAACCCACACAACTGCATTTGGATCACAAGCAGCTGTGAAAACATACGTGAGCCGAGCGAGCAATGTAATTGACTGATGCAATACCATAACAGCGACATGTTCTGAGTAAGTAGCAAAATAACTAAGCAGAAAACACACCTCCATCAGCTGTACGACCCTTCTGGGAATGCATAATTTCAGCAGCAATGGTTCAACACAAGCAAACTCAGGACCGGTTTCAACATTCAATGTCTCGTCAGCACACTCAGGTTCGTCAAAAGCATACTCAGGGTCGGTTAAACCAATGCCGGTGAACTGCCAAATGTATATAGGCAAAGATCCTCTGTCATTTAAGGCTCCTAGTGAATAGGTAGTGTTTACTGTTGAAAAAACATTAAAAACCAAGAGGTGAACGATTTCCTGGGCCGGTGCCAGCAAGGATACGCTATCTTTCCGCAGGAGTCCTGTGAGAACTGCCACACAAAGAGGTTCCCGGCCTCGTCCACACACGCGAGGCGGCTGGAGCCGAGGTGGGCGAAGGCGAGGTCCGTGACGGCGCCCGTGAAGCCCTTCAGGAGGGTTCGCTCGGCCGTGGGCGCGTGCAGCACCCGCACCATCGCCTGGGGCTCTGCTCCAAAACACGAAACGGGGTGCAGAGTCGTACAGGGGAAACGCAATCGTGATGCGATCTTAATCTTGCGCGTGACGGCAGAAATGTGTTTCAGGAGCTAAATGTCAATTATGAGGTCTGCCCAGCCAACGAGAGAGCATGAGAGAGTTAGTGTAGCTTTGCCATTCCTCCATTTGCGATGAGCAAAATAGATGAGCGGACAACCTTCCTCCACAACTGTGTAAATTTGGTGAAAAAAGTCCAAGCCACTGGTAGAGTATCTATTTAAAGATGGCGTGTTAAATTATTGAATCATGAAGATTTAATTATTACAGTTGATGTCAGAATGAGCCGCGTGGTTTTTTCACAACCACAACTTTCGCAGAAACTCAAAATATTCATTAGCGCCGTTGCGGAGACCATAAGTAAAAAAAAAAATTAAGCAGACAAATCGCCTCCTTCCCATATCTGTCCAACAACATGAAGATATTGTACACATGCTATCGGTTAAACAGTCTTCTGGGGGTGTTTTTTTTCAGTAGGATTGGTTTAACGTAAGCAAACTCTGGATTGGTTCCAACATTCAGTATCGCAGCAGGAGAGTATGCCTTGCTTAACCCAATGCCGATCCATAAGTCACTCGTATTTAACTAATGCTGCTGAAAAAAAAGTAACTTCCATAAACTGAATTATTGTTATTTCATCAGGTAAGCTCTTTTTCGGAAGCGACCTGTGGATTTTTTTCTCTCCAGAAATACCCACAAGGAGAACATACAAACTCCAAATATACAGGCGTCATGGTCGGGATCTAACCCATGACTTCCTGCAAACCAGGCGAGGGAGTTCACATCTTAGCTACCACGGCACCCCATTTCGCCAATGAAATGTGTAAAAAATAAATAATTATTACTATTGTGTTAAGTATTATGCTTAAGTGACCCGTGATGCAAGCCTGTTCTCCTGATTGGTAATGAATTGTGCTTTTTTACATTAAATTCGTAGAATGCATCAATGCATGTGTTTATAAAAATAAATATTGTTTACTGAGTAAAAAGGGTCTTGTGACTCACTGGGAATGATGTAAGCGAGGTAGGTGGAGGAGACAGCAATCATGTTCCCAGGGTAATAGCGATGCTCCCAGTCATAGCGTGTCACTGGTTGAATCTTGACCTAGCCAAACAGCCACACCCACATAAGTCATCGCCACATGCAGCATGGAGCACGCACTTTCAATTATAAGTTTATATTAATAATAACCAGACATTTTAAACTTTGCTATCGTTCCGAACAGTAATGAAAATTTAAGCGATTGAACCCCCAATGCAGTCAATGATGTTTAACAGCAACATGGACTCCAGAAGAACAGCAGAGTAGTTGGTCTGCAAAAGGACCAAAGCACACTGAATAAATCCAGGTGAGTGACAGCTGGAGACATTTTTATTGGAATTGAAATTCATAGCATAAAGTAAGCCAGCAAGCTGCCTAAAGAAGTGTCAACTCAGTGTATATAACCTGTTTTAAAAAAAAATGAGAATGTGGAGTGGCAACTTAAATGCAACCAAATCTAAAAAAGTTCCCAGAGAAGCAGACAGATGCATGCTGGGATTAACACTGAGAAACAGAAATACCACACGGACCAGAGAACAATCTTAAATCAGAGAAATGTCATAACGAGCATGAAGAAAATTCAGTCTGGTTGGGCAGGAATACTGCTGATGGATGACACTGATGATAGAACGACAGCCAGAGGACCGAACAAGCCCAAGAGGATGAACACTGAGGAGAAATGATCTCACCAAGTGAGATGGATCACGGGATCTCAAGACCATGACATACGACTGCACCGGTTGATTTTCGACATCACTGAGGCTTTCGCGGTTAAATGAGGGACATCACTGTTGACAGCAGGGAGCCCACACCTGGTTGCTGCCAGAGGACGGACTGGAGAGGCTGGAGGCATCGCTGGAAATCACCACGACCTCACGCGCATTCACCGGCACTGCACCCGCCTTGTCGTCCCCTGTCAGGGTGCTACACACACATACAGAAGTCGTGCCCGCCATCGACACATGCCTTGCACACTCGCCTAATCACATGGCACAATAAAGCATATTTAATACAGGGAGCTGTCTTTGTCCATTAATATGGGCAAAGTGCAATGAGCACAGTTGGCCACGTACGGTGCGAAAGAAGTTCAACATACATATGTTGTCTGCCGTCCAAGTCGCCCTTGAAAAGGAGCTTCGAGCTCAATGGGCTTTACTCGAGAAAAAAACTTCCGATAATATTTATTTTCGTGTCACGTTCCATGGTAGGCGAATCATTCATTATTCATGAATTATCGTATATTTAAAGTGCTCCGCACAAACTTTAAAGCAACGCAGGCTGACCGTTCCATAGGGGGGAAAAAAACAATAAACCTCCAGACCATAACATTTTTAATAAAAATAGTTTCAAATGTTTGCATTTACGAGCATAAACTCAGTTATACGGCAGATTTCTACCCCTTGCGGAATATTATGAAACGGTTACTAATTCATGATCGTCAAAAAGTTCCGCATGGTGCTGCATCAATCACATTTCTGCACCACGGTCTGCATTTATTCTCTAATTTATCTTCTCATAACACTCATTACTGACTCATGCACAAGCATTATCAAATGAAAAGGCCAGAAGCAAAACTTCATAAGCAACCAATACAGCCAGGGCAGTCTATGCGGCCACACAATGTGCAACACCAACAGCTACCACTGGCTAGCAATCAAGTGAATCAAAATAAAATGGGCTCACAGAAACTGCACTTGTGAATAAACTGCACTTATTACAGTGACTAGCAACATTCACTTACAATTAACGATAGTTGCAGAGGTGTTGTAAAATCTTCGTACAAGTTACTTCCCCTTAAATCGTTTGTGAACAGATTTTTTTTCCGAATGGGTTTGGTGTAACATCGTCATCGTGTGTGCCCACAAAAAACAAGACCAATGCCCAGACCTTGCGTACAGTTGCCTAGCACGCAGACCCAACATTGCAAGTGCTCAGCAACAAACAGCAACGGCAAAGCTGTAAAAGGTTACACATATAGGCCGGAACGGTACACGAGGGGGTGGGTGGCCAGCACCACGCCCGACCGCCTTTGTTACACACCGCACCAGGTACTCATTTGAGGCTGAGTCGACCTAGGGGAGGCCCGGGACCGGTTCAGATAATCGTCACTGGTGTTGGCCGTGAGCGGGAATCGAACCCGGGTCGCCAGGTTCATAGCGCAGCGCGCTAACCGCTACACTATCGCTCCCCACCACACACACACACACACATTGCGTTTCTTGAATTGAGCAGGGTAATAATACCTGCTTGGGAACAGAGATGAATGACGGTAGAGAATCCGTGCACAACGACAGAAAGACGACAACTTACATCTGCTGCGAGTCAACGAGGTGCGGAGCGGGGCCTGGTAAGACAGCAGCCGCGTCCACTGCGCCCGCGGACATCGAGCAGGCAGATTCCGCTCCGGGAACCTCGCTCATGGCTGTCGCTGCCATCCCATTCAACTGCCCATTGTAGGAGACTACGGCAGGGTCAGCCGCGCTCAACGGATCTGCAAAACATTTTGGTGAAAGTAAACGCGCTTAATTGTTGCGGGGGTCAGACGGTGAATCGGTGGTATGCATCAAAAAGCCGGCACAATGCTAATGAGGGGCTGCTAGCAGGTCAAGGGGACACACACGAACCAAAGTATACACCAACAGTACACACGAACAGATGAAGCAAGGCGACCAATTGTATGAGACATTACCCAACGATTCTAGATTTAAAGCTTTCGTGACTGCAAGGATCCATGCTCTTTGGTTCTATTCGGTAAAGTCACGTAGGTAAAAAATAAAAGAACAAAAATCACGACGTTTCGGCCACAACACAAGCGGCCTTCAAATTACCCAACGATCAACTACATTGTAACATCGCAATGGGTGGTTACACTTTGATGCGATAAGCAGGTGAAAGGGGCAGAGGCGGGAGAGAATTCGGCGGCGCATCTTGCCGACGAAATAAGAGGCGAGCCGTCTAGTAAAGAGATCTCGGCCAGAAGGGGCATGGACGGTCTATACGTACCGACGGCAATACACACAGACGATGATGCACGTGCACAGTGCCCATTAACACCTATACAAATTAAAAATAAGTATGAGCAGTGCATATTGACGACAGCACATGTGCTCCAGAGCAGATTAACATGTCAGCGGTAAACACGGGACGTCTGGAACGCTCCTCCTTCCCATATTAGGAAGCCACTGGAGCTGTTTACTTTCAAATCATCCAGATTGAAAACGCATTTCTTTAAAACTGCTTATCGTGTTTAGTTGGTTGTCCTTCACCCCGCCTCCACCACCTCCGATTAGCGCGGTTGGCAAGGTGCGGTGAGAAAAAAGTTCAACAAACGTAGACACCGACAGGCGCACACACACAAGAGCGAGTGACGCAGCACGCCGTGCGCGCAACACGGGGGTGCCTTTCAAGAAGCGGCGCAACACGCATCGCTATTTAAAACCTCGCGCGCGTGAACACCACAGCAAGGGGGGGCGGGCGGCGAAATCAGCGGCAGGAATGAACCGAGACATCCCTCAGGGAAGGCCTAGCGCTGGGCATGGCCGGCCGCCCGCCCGCCCGCCCGACACAGCAGCCGCCACTCTCACCGCGCTGCTCGGGCTGGCGGTCGAGCTTGAGGAGATCGCGCAGCTGCTGCGTCGCGTCGCTCGCGTTCACTCCGCCGCGCGTGGCCATCGTCCCCCCGTGGGCCGCCGCCGCCGCCTCCTCCTCCTCAGCGTCTCCCCACTTCGCGAGCTCCGACTGCCTCCTCTACCGACGCCTCCGCGCGAGTCTCGAGACACCAGCAACGCGCCACGCGATTGGCCGAGAAGGGGGGGGGGAGAGGAGGATTGGCGGGAGGAGCAACTGACCCGCGCTGAGCAAGAGCGCGCGCGATTGGCCGTGAGGGAGCAGGGCGCGCTCGCGCGCACCCTGGAATGCGATGCAGCGCGCGCGGATCTCGTGACGTCACGCGGAGAGCTGAGCGCATGACGGCATGTCCTCGAGGAGCGCGCTCCATTGCGTCATGCGAAACGCTTGTGGGCGTAACGTCACCGCTGTGTGAGAAATTTTATATCTTTTCAATTTATCTCGGAGAAATCCGATGAGCTTTGAAGCTCTTTTTTACAGATGTTCAGTAGCTGCAGGTCAGAAAGTTACAGCTAAAAAAACTATAGGAGTGTAAAGTGTATGAAAGACACTCAAGTTACGAAAAATGACAAAATACTCATTTTTGAGCGCATAACATTTGTGAAACAATACTATTTAATTAAGTATCGATTTGATGCGTTTTAAATGTCAGTGACTTAATGGTTGGGACACATTACAATCGGTTTACGACGGTCCAATTTGCGACACACGCTTACGACGTCTGTATAAGGCCCGCCATTGATCGTTTTATTGACCTGGTCAAGGTCTATGATACTATCAACAGGCCAGGGCTGTGGCCAGTTCTTCGTGCTTTCGGAGTCCCTGACTCTGCTCACAATCATTAAGGGCCTTCATTATGGTGGGCAGGCCCGGGTAAAGTTATGTGGCCAGGAGTCGGAGCCATTCCCTGTTCACCTTTGGGGTGCGACAGGGATGTCCTCTGGCTCCCACATTATTTAACACCATATTTGACCACGTACTTCGTGAAGCTTTCGATGGCTGGACCGGAGGAATTTCCGTCTGGTAGAGATACAACGGGAGGCCTCTGAACGTATCCTGGTGATTGTTGCTTACTCCGAGGAGGAGTTAGAGGCGCTGCTGCTGAACCTGGAGTGTGCCACTACGAGGGGGTCTCATCATCAGCCCCACTAAAACTAAGCACCTGCCTGGGTATTTTGTGCCACCAAACACTCCACCCCCTCAGCTCCCTATTGGTTATGAAGCAGTTGTGGAGAGTTTCCCATACCTGAGCAGTGTGCTTATGACCAGCTCCGGTTTGACAGCAGAGGTCTTACTCCGAATCAGTCATGCCTTCCCTTCTCTATGCTTGTGAAACGTGGACTCCCCCTAATGGAACATCTGCGCCGGTTAGAAACATTCAGGCTGGCATGCCTACGATCCATCCTGGGTTTAACCAGGTTGGATTGTTTGAGGAGCTCACAAATCCTTGAAAGATCAGGACACATTTCAATCAGTGAGCTCTTCCGGCAGGCAAGGCTGCTGTGCTGCCTGGGTCATGTAGCCCGCATGCCCAGCCACCGCATGCCCAAGCAGCTTGTTTTGCCGCATAGAGGGGGCTAAACGGGCACAACATAAGCTGGAGAAGAGATGGAGTGATGCCGTACGGGAGGATGTGGAGCTGAGTGGACTTTCCCACGACTGGTACCAGCGGTGTCAAGATCGACCTCTAGGGAAGAGGCTCGTGAAGGACGCTACTGGGCAGTTGGAGGCAGTCGCCCTCCAGCAACAACGGAGGGCGGAGGAGCGACGCTCACAACAACGAGCGGAGCGCCGGGCTGCTAAAATACAGCAAGTTGGCACAGTAGGCGGCACAGCTGGTGCATATGTAGTGGATTCCACGGAGACACACTTGAACTGGGAGGCAACACGTTTATTCTAACACCCCAGCAGGGTAACTGCATAAACGTACGGGATGACGACATAGGTGGTGACTACCACGAATAACTCAGACCACAACGGGTAACTACATAACCGGGTCAGTCAGTGACGCACTCAAGGCCACAACGGGTAACTCCGTTGTCAGCAGGAAAATCAAGCATTGTGCTGTTGCTCCCTCTACCGACCCGGCGTGGACCGGCGTGCTAAAGTATGGTCAAGTACAGTAGATTTCTGCTCCCGGCACCACACGTCCAGTGCAGGGACTCCTTTACTTACGAGCATTCGACTTACGAACTTTCAGAGATACGAACAAACAGTTGCCTGTTCGGATCGAGAATCGTAAGTTCAACCGCCGCGCAATAGATGGCGGTAGTGGCATCGGCATCTGCAGAACGTAAAGAACCAGTGGCGTCTACATCTGCAGAACGCGAGGAACCAGTGGTGTCTACAGGAGATTGTACAACTTTTAAAGCCATTCCCCGTCTTTAGTGTACACGCCGTTCAACATGTTCTGGAATCGACAGGAGTAAAGTTGGACTTGTGAACAAATCGACTTATGAACAGACCTCTGGAACCTAACTCGTTCGTAAGTAGAGCAGTCCCTGTACACCTCTCTCGAGGCTGTGGCTGCAATCACGTGCCAGCGACCCCGGGTCACGCGTGACAAAGTTTGGTATCGAACTGGGACTCGTATTTAACCAAGGGTCCTCACCTATAAACATCTGGCAGTTCACCATAATTGGTTCAAACGAGTAGCCTGTCTGCCGATGAGACGTTGAAATATCGAAACCGGCTCAGAGTTTTGCTTGTGTGTTGAACAAATGATGATCTGTACTCGCATAAGACTGTGTGTGGTTGCTGGAATGTGTAAAAATATATACACTTTGTTTTGTGCGTGGACATATATGAAGGTTGGCGAATAGCCTGCTTATTTGCATCCATAACACAGAAATAAAGCATGAAGCTACTTTGGTAAAGCTGCAACAGATAGTCGGGGCGCCGCAGTAGCGAGATGTTAACTACCTTGCCTGGTATACAGGAGGTCGCCTGCTTCGATCCCGACCCTGGTGCCTGTATATTTGGAGTTTGCGCGTTCTCCCAGTGGTCGCGTGGATTTTTTTCCGGGTCCTCCGGTTTTTCCCTCCATATTTAGAATCAACGTGCATTTAGAGTATTTGTCTGCTATGCATTTCCACGTGATAAGCCATTTCGTTGAGCTATCATTTGTGATAGCCAGGTCGCTTCTAAATAAGAGCTATACTGTATCGCTCAGTGGGCCTTACCTGATTAAATAAAACGTAGTTTATTTTAAATATTTTAATGTATTTTGTTACGGAAGATATCCTTTGAGAAATGGAGCCCCGTTGTGTATGGCTATGTGCATTAACTTTCACAACGCCGTGTAACGCATACGTTGGTGAAAGCTCGCCGACACAAGGGGAAAACTACTCCGTTTATTAAGCACATTGAGCAATCGTCACATCATCACAGAGGCCCGCAGCAGGTGAGCGTGTCGAGGGGCCGCGGCTGCCGGGGAGACGGAACGATTGACGCCTGCTCCTCCAGCGCCGACCCCGCTCCCGCCCAAAAAAAAAAACCACACCCGACTCGCCATTATAATCATTCAACATTTCACCAATCCGATACGATGTGGATTCCACGAGAGAGATGCAATGCTAAAGCTCGACAGAAACTAAATCGTGGAGACGAGACACATTACGCAATGTGATTATTGTTATTTTTGTAACATTTTGCCATTTTAATGTGCATCCATAATACAGAAATAAAGCGTAAAGCTACTTTGGTAAAGCTGCAACAGATAATAGTGTATGGCCCAACACAGATATAGTATATGACCCAACACAGATATAGTATATGTCCCATCACAGATATAGTGTATATCCCAGCACAGATAATAGTATATGGCCAATCACAGATATAGTATATGGCCCATCACAAAATGATAGTAGATGACAACAAAGTTATTCCATTATAGTTTTTGAGAACCCCATGCTTGCATGTTATAGTTGCACAAGAACATGATAGGATGCTCACAAGCCACAATGTCAACGGAGAAAAACGAATCTCATGAGTGCTGTACTTTAACAAAGTTATAATGTCAACTGGGCCGCCACCTACCTGCAAACCTGTCAACCCCTTATCAGCGCCTACCGTATTAAAGACTAATTCAGACCTTATTGGTTACCCCGTGCCCTTATAAATCTCAACGTTCATCCTACAAAGTCCCATCACAAGGGAGAAACACAAACAAATAGACAATTTCTTTTGCCCGTATTGAAACGGCTGTACGCCGTATGGACCTGAAGACTCAATTTCCCTGCTCAAAAAGACGAGGGGTGAACCGTGCGGGTTGCCACGGCGAGTACCTGGCTCCGCGTCGCCAACTCGGCGACTTGACCGCTACACGTGGCGGAGACTCTGTTGAGTTTCTCTCGCGACAAAATGTCAAAACGAACGGATGGACGCAGCAGCCCGCTAAGTACTACGATTTCCGGATCAGTCGACTATAATAAATGTGATAGTGACATCTTTGGTGACTGGAGGTTCCAGCGAGTGGCTTCTGGCGACTTTTTCGAGGTTTGTTTGTCAGCTTATTTTCTCCTTTGAGGACTTGGCACCACCGGGGTGGATGTGGCCACGAGTGATATTCTGACAGCGCCGCACGACTGCCGGTTTGAAGTACGTGCGGCTGTCCTGAGCTGCCCTGCGCCTCCCGGCATCGTGTTACGCGTTAAAGAGTTCGTCCTAAAGTGGAAAATACATGCCGGTAAAATATTAATACGGTAGCCGTCTGCTGTCGCATATGACTGCAATGTCACCGTTGTACGACAACTGCAAGTACGGGGAGCCTCTGCGCCCACGGCAATGCGGTGCTGGGCGGATACTGCATTTGGTGAACTTCACACGCATCACATTGTCACGTTGGGTGAAATGATCACACTTTTGCAAAGTGTACACGTGACCGCAATGTGCTGTATATATATACAAAAGTTTCTACCCTAAATTAATATGATGCACACATGTCCCCCCCCCCCCGGTTCCCGCCCCCCTCCCCCCTGAGACCCTCGCCCGCCAGGTCAGGCACAGTGTTCCCTTCCGTTGTGAGAGTAAGCTCCCCTAGGGCCCTGGCGTACTCCCCTCTTGTGGTGCCACCCACGCCGCACAACTCTCCTGGATGCCCACACCTCTGGCATTAACGAGGGAAATGAATACGCTGTAAGAGAAAAAGCCACGTAAGATAGCCCGGGACGGCCGCCTTGT